GAGAAAATTATGTACACGAATAAAGGAACACAACGCGGCTGTCAGGAGGCATGACCCCCTGTCTTTGATATCTATACACGAGGACCAAGAAGGCCACAAGTTCAATCTGGAAAACGCGAAAATTTTGGCATACGGAGACACGCGACACGGAAGAGAATTTCTGGAAGCATGGTACTCTACGGCAGGTTCAATCAACCGGTGCATCGAACTGGATGCAATTTACGCACCTCTACGTGCGAGAGATCAACATCGCAACCGAAACACTCAAGGAGGACCGAATAATGGATTAACAACCGAAGAAACAAAGAACTCCTCGGAGTCAAATCAATAAAGGTCACAACCGGAACTCGGAAGGGCACTCCAAGGTCACTTCAACACCGACCAGACTACGACGGCGAGGGATGCCAAGTTCAAAGGTCACGTGGACATCGGTGAATGAGGACAGGGGATAAAAGAACAACCAATTGAACTGCCCGACAGAATAACTAATCGCGGTCAAAGGTCAGCCTCGGCTACCAGCACGTATATCAGCACACACGTAGCACTACTGAACGCACAACCACTAACCCACCGCTACGCACAACTACACACTGATGATGTCACCTCGATTGGTGATGAAACGTTCGCAACCAAATTGCCCAGCTCAGGGAACAAGCGAACGACCATCTACGTCACCTGAGCTACCGACATTCTCCTCATGCACTCAGTTTTGGTCGCATTGACGACACTTATTCGGACAATTAACCCCATTCGCCCGGCTAGCTTTGTCTGAGACGGAAAAGTAAACAATCCCACCTGCAGTTGCATCTAAAATATGATTGATTTTCCTCGTTTATCTTCCCGGTTGTATGCCGGCCCTTGTTGGAATATCCTAAATAGTCCAACCGTAGGACAGAAGAAAAATGAACATCCTGATAGCTTTAGTTGTAACAGAGAGTGCCCCAGAGGAGTATATAAGTAAAGTGAAGGCAAAGTCGAGCCTGCCACACGAAAAAAATAGCAGGTCAACCAAACTCAATGGGCTTTTCAAATCATTCCGAAATAGAGTCCTAAAGGTATCGTTCTGAGCGGAGCTATCTCAATCAGTAAATTCATATCAAGGTTGTAAAAGCAAGGAACCTCGAAGCAAATCATCTACTAACCCAGTAACATTTTATACTGTCAACCAATAAGCTTACGGTTTCCGACATATATGATAACCCGTTACGATCTTTCTGCCACCTTTCCGCATTAGTTTGACTGCTGATTGAACATGTTCTCTCCTAGTCGAATGAATATCTTTTGAATTTAGAGTTCCAACATAGTTCTGTTGCTAGAATAAACCTGTACAAAAACTCAAAATAAGATCGACTAAACGCCTCCGTCCTTTAATCCCGGATTTTTATTTAAACTTCTGCGTTCGGAGGACAAGCTACTCCAAGAACACGACAGTGACTTCGTCAAGCACTGTCAGAGTCGGTCATTTGCTGAAGATACACGATCAAAACTTTTGGAAGTCGAACTGATTTGAACACTACTGTGGCAGCTTACTAATTATAGCGACACCAATGTTCAATTTATTCTTTAAACCTCTACAACACGCTCATTGGACCAAGAAGTTTTCGTTTTACACGAATGAGGGATTCGCGAGATCACATTGGGCAGGCTTCAGGTCCTCACATGTAAACTTTCCATTGAAAAAAAAGATGCGAGATTGAAGAAACAAGGATAAACGATTACTAGTCATGATTTAACAGTCACCATTCAACAGAAACTTGTTAAAAAGGCTGTTGTTTTTTGGTGGCATTTCTCGAACCTGTTAAAAGTCAGTCCGGTTTTGCGAAATACACTCATTTGGAAATAAATTTGGTTTTGTGAGAAGCACCTAAAACCAAGATGACTCTCTCGCTAACGATGTTCTCAAGCAATTGAATTAGCTGCACCAGGCCACCTCAGTTAGTACGATATTTGATATATAAATTAGAACATAAGTTGACGGAAACTCGGGAATCGTGCCTACCTGATGAGCCCCAAGAAGCGTAAGACCGGTAGGGGGCTGTGGAGACATTTTCAGCAACTTTCTGATGAGTGTATCAGTCCAATTTTGTTCATCCAGACATCATAATGGAAAATGAAACGCCTCTCATTACCGCTGCAAAACAAATCCCACTTGACATACTTTGATCTGTTCACCATCTCCAGAATGAGGCCCGATCTGGCAATTTTTTCATACAGCGGCACATTTACTCTTTGAGCTATTCGTGATTCTGGCGTCTGCCACATCTGAGCTAGTCTTTATCAGAGTGACTCCGTTTAGTTCACTTGGTGCCACCCAAAAAACGCTGGTTGATACACTAACACACCAAAGGAAACCGCGATCTTTAACAAGATGACCTTCTACAACCAACAATTTATGTGTGAGAGAGACAGAGAGAAAACAGCTGTTGCCAGGCCAGTGCCTGAAATCTTTTTGCAGTCTACTTTTTGATGCACTAAAGACCATGTGAATAACGTCCCTCGGAATGGTATGCAGAAGGACGTCCCCACCATCATTAAATGCTAATCATCGAGGCATTTGATACCCCAGTGTTTGTAACCTATAATCCTAGGTATAATTCAGCCACTTTTTTCAACATTATCTCAGTTACTTACTGCTTCGTTTTTGCAAGTAAAACATATAATGTTCCCAGAAATTATAAATTTCTCGAAAAAGCGTCGGACGTTTCCATACTTGACCAACCAAATAATGCCATATGGTGTTTGCTCTGATTTATCAACTGTTTTGCAACACGCGTTGAGACAAAAATGCACGAAACCGACTATGCCCGTAGTCTAGTTGTTTGAACTGGTCTACTTGCTCGAATAAAAAAACATGGTTCAACTCTATCACGAAAACACTAGGGGCGAGTTGAGTTTGTTCTAGCGGATTACTTCTGAACGAGAGCCCACCACCAATGCATTCCCTGAGACAAAGACTTTCGCCTTTAGGATCATGCTTCCCCTAGTGCCTTTCTGCACCGTTTATAGCGGAAACTAAAAGGGCAAGGTAGTTAGTTTTGAATTATGAACCCTTGAATAAAAGAGCACATTTGTCTGGAATAAAGTTTCGCTTTGACGATTGGTTGGCTCGGTATGCTCACTTTGCACTTGGAGTACAACTTTGATTGGCTGTGTGGAAAATATTGATTGCGGTCGCGTCCGTTGACCAGAGCAAATGGACAGAATTGACACCATTCTCGTTAGCAAGTGGTCGCATGTTTGAGTTACACATTACGATGCGTCTTTCTAAGTGTAGTTGGATCCTCTTGAGCACTATTCAAATCCCATATCGAATTAACTTCATATATTGTGAATGCCTAAAAGTTATCAACCTATGACACCTCATGTTATCATATGGGACTCATAAAACGATGCTGACGGATGCCAGCTGTCGACACACTTGGCAGGGATGTGGGAAATGAATGTTAACTTCAGGTGTACATGTAGAACTGGGACCAAATAATTCAAATTCACTCATGCGGCAAGCGAAAGATAGCACTTTTCACTCTAACTCAAGGTCGTTTCACTCTATTGATATTTGCGTCTATTTTCAAATCTTTGAAATATTTTTATCAAATAAAGCGTACTGATGGACCAGCTGTTGTCCAATGTACTTTATTCCGAAGCTTAACCATTAGTCTCAATGTGTATCATAATTTATCTGGACTACCGTAATGGAAAACTTGCGGTCAATTAAACATCATCAATTTTTCTGATTATTTTCCGACTCAGGTTCTCAATGTGCAACTTCGCTTACCTCATTTGTGCTTGCCCACCCATATGGATAATCGAACTTCACCACATGGATCAGTTGAATAATTCCACAATGGTTAGAGAACAACAACAACAGCTGATTTTAAACAGAACCAATCCAGTGACAACACTACCCCCATGGCTCCCAGTTTTGGAGCAAAGGTTGCCGAAAAATGTAAGTTGTGGCAGATGGTGCAGCTGAACTCAGTTTTGTTTATTCTCTCCTTTCCATTTTATGTTTTTAATTTAAGTTGTCAATAATTAGAGGCCGGTTTCTTCATGATAGTTCAGGCGAGCGCACGCAGTGTTCGTAATATTCAGTCAGGACAACACGACTGGTCTAATTCGTTGCCAGAAAACTTCACCAAGATAAGTACAGGGTTTTCTGAGCTGGGTCTAATGCGGCTGTATTGTCAAGTTCGCGCAAATAATCAGTCGATTGAGTTGGTGAACGCCCATCATATCTGCTGCCTCTGAATAGGTTACAAAAGTACTTGCACCTTTTTATGCCCCAAGAAATGCTAAAACAGTCATGGGTTGTCAAGGAGTGCTCGAAAACCTTATAAATAATGTATTATGTCCATACAATGCACCGTCTCAAATAAAACGTGGAGCTGCCTGATGCAGCACATTCAGTTACTTAAGCAGTGAAAAGACAAATGCTTTCATTCTTTTTGGTTCAAACTACCGAAAAGATATTTTGAATTTTTCAGAGTGAGCTAGAGAACATCAAGTTAATTACATTAATGTAGGCGTCAAAGCTATTACATTGTGCCTCACAAATTTCCTGTATCCTAAAAATAAAGCACTGCACCGTTCATTAGATAAGACGGAAATTTGTTTTGTAGCCCCTCCAAAATAGTTTTTTCTCTGTAAACATCGTTTGCCAAACCGGACAACCCAGAGCTAGTTCGTAGACAGACAAGAATTAACCTGAAGTAGTCATTGGTATCCTGTCGGTTACATAATGATTTACATTCTTGAGCTGTAGTCAGCTGGCTTGAGAAAGTCATCGTCTGGTAAGGGATACATCCTAATTCTTTGGAGCTTTCAGGCTGATGTAGTAACCCCCCCTTAGATAAAAAACATTCACAATTACAAGACAGCTTTGCCTACAAGACCTACTTTGTCATGTATTACCAAAGAAACAGTCCTCTGTCCTTTCGAGCAAATGAAAAAAATGAAAGCCGCCTACTTCACAAAATTAAACACTACGATTCAGATGCCCTTATTGTTCACATATAGGAGGTTGTCCTGTTGGACGGTTGACCGGATAATTTTCTCCGTAGTGTTGAATCTTCATTGCGCAGAACATGAGTAATGATTCAGTGTCCGAACACTCCACAAAGGAAATGCAGATCGATTGCAATTAGAACGGCGTATTATGTGAAAAAATTGTTATCAGATGACTATCTAGTGATTATTTTTGTTTTTATGTCATCTTGCCTTATTCGGAGTTCCATAATTAATGCCTTAGTAATGTTTTGTAAGAAGAAGCCTACGAAAACTAATCAACGAGAAGTCTGGCTGCCAAAAAAGCTGTTTTTTGCGACTAACCGAACAAGCAGTCTACTACTAGACTTGTTTACGAACGAAATTTCCGTGTGCATTTAACAGTCATTTGGTGTGCGATTGTGAAAGTCTTCTTCTGATACTAATGCCCACCCTTGAAATTGGGTTGCCTCGCGGGTGGAGCCGTTCAACCACTTTCAACAATTTTCTACTGTTGAGTCGTAGTACATGTCCACGCCATGATGCGTCCCGGCAGCTGGACCGAAACTCATTAATGTTACAATGCTGCGTTTCCTTATTATGGAAAATATCCACCCCCTTATTCTTTTTAAGGTAGTCATGTTTGTCGGCAACTGACATCCGCTTACACACTTCCTCCCGTAACTGTGATCCTACTAGAATGTTATAGTGAAACTTTTCAGTCAAAGGCACACCACATTACCTATTGTCTTACGCTGGTTTGATTACACTGCCACAAAGAGGTGTGTCACATCGGGGAAGATGTTCACTTGATTTGGTGATGAACGCGTTCGGTGCGATTTTCTTTAGTCAACCCCTGTGACAGTGAATCACAACACCAAATATACCTTTCGTTTCATCTATAGGAGTTTTTCAAATAAATGTCGCACTTTAACAAAACATACTCATGTGAAAATCTACACCGGTTAGTCGAAGGACTTTCAGAGATCATTTGAGTAATGTATACACATCAAGAAAACCATCACAGCTGGGTTCCGAGTTGGGTGCGAAGAAGTCCTGTGTAGGGCAACTACATGACACTTTTGAATGTACTCACTAATCGGTGAGCTTTCGGTTTGATGTAATGATTAATAAATAATGGGTTATATTTTCTTTGCGAATTAAACGTGAAACCCCTGAAGTAATTGTATTTTATAGTCCAGCAAGATAAATGTGGCACTGATAAAACAAGCAAGTCTCCTACTGATCCGATTGGGTAACGTTGTGCGTTACTATCCCTGCTTTGCTTACCTCTGTGAAGGTGTCTACGAGCGGCATTTCTTGTTCGGCGTTGCTTATTTCCATAAATTTCGAGGGGATAATCTTCATTGATTTTATGTCACTAGTCAATCACTGCGCTTATTAGCGCACCTGTAGATGAGCTGATACACACCTGCCTCGTACACCGCTGAAACTAATCTGGTTTTTTGCTGATAACAAGCAGAATTGCTCAACAGCTAATAGCCCGTAAACAGGGGCTTGCAATCTCTGTGTAATAGAGGACCCGTAATCTCCCTGTGACTCAACAGCTTCACTCGGAAGGCGGATGAACATATATGCCGTATTTTCCACTAGGTTTGGAAAGACTTTGATCGGTTCTACTTGTTGTGTGTCGGTAAACTTTGCTGTATAGTTACTGAGTGTCGTAATGGAGATTTTATCCTGTAAGTCAATCCATTTTGTGCTGAAAAGCCGGAAACACAGAGCAGCTGTATCATTCTTACTGAGAACCAGCATCACTGCGGAGCCTGCGAAACTCGAAGAGCTTTGAGTCCGAGACATCCCAGCTAGTAGTCTGAAATCCGAATGTCCCTTTCTCATGCTTCTGTTCATTTACGATACATTATGGACTACATATCGGCCTGGCTGTATTTTCTATTTGGTCAGGTTTTGTGAGGCTTGAAAAATGGGAGTGATCTCAAGTTCAAGAAGGTTTCCGATTGACCGCACATTGCAGGCTTCCATCTGGACGCCTGGGGACCAATATATCTGGTCCACCGACCATTTCTTTCTCGTAAGCAGCGAACTTTTCAGATTTAGGGTAGTCGACGGATGTGTCTCCGAAAATCGAAACGTCGACGCAAACTTGCTTGTAAAGCCAAGTATTAGAAATATCGTCAGGTGATTGTTCTCCTAACCGACACAAGGACAGCGTTTCTCGCAACTTTTTGTAAATTCCCCTTTAAAAAAAGACAGAATAAATTATCCTGAGTGCATAAAAGCTAACCTTTGATATACTAGCGTAAAATGACCATAGATATAATCATACTTTGCACAGTCTCTTACCAACTGAAGTGCACATACTATCAGTTTGTGAGTAACCGCATCTTATTTGTCTGTCCCTATTGCGCAGTTACTACAAAATCCCAAACCATCTCTTGTTCTTTTCCAAGAAAACCACGCACTCACTTACTCGCACAACTTTGTGTACCACCTCTTTCCTCTTCTGCTTTCAGGAAAGCATCACCATAATGGGAGAAGACATTGAAAACTACATCGCTGGTCTCCAGCTTCAAAATCCTGAGCTGATACACCGTCAGCGTCGCGTTCGAAGACACACTGAGGTGAGTACAGTTCTCTGAAAAGCCTTTCATGATATTTTGTGCATATATGAACGCCATAGGAATACGCCACTACATTAAACACAGCCAGAACCTTATCATTACAGAAAAAATAATACGCACACAATCAACAAAACGCGACAACTTTAAGAACTCTCAGTCGAAAAGCTTCGATGGTAACAATAAAGGAAAAACCTCATCCAAAAGAAATATAGCAAATGGGGCATAAGCTCGATGCACTAACATCTGACAGCGCAAAATAAGCCTCCAAGTTTTTTCATAAAGGTTGCTGAAAACTCTTCGACAGCCCACGACGGGCTTTGCCCTTCTTGGGGCTCATCAGGTAGGCAAGGTCTCAAAGTTTTCGTCAACCTTATGTTCTACTTGAACCCAAATTGGACTGTTTTCAAGAAACACAGCCATTCGCAAATCAATTTGGTTATGAAAATATACTGTGATATCTCGAATATCGTGCCAACTGAAACATGAGGTGGCCTGTGTGCAGCACATTCAGTGGTAGAATATCATAAACGAGAGATTCAGTTGAGTCTCTCGTGAAAATTAAATTGATTTTCAAATGAGTGTATTTCTCGAAGTTTCCAAGTTGTTCGTGGTTGTGCGTGTCATTTCAGCTGTCATCAACACACTGCATTTTTCTGAAGCATATTTATCATTCACAACAGTGGCAAAACAGTTTATTCAGACTTGACCACTGTCTATGAGGGTTGTTTGATTGTCCAGTCTGTTTTGTTTGCACCAAATTCGCTGGACAGAGAGGAAAGCCCTGTGAGTCACTTGGAGGACTAGCGGCTTGCTTTGCGAATGAGAACGGGTAGAGCCAGGGCTGAGAAACGACAGCATTTGCAAATAAAAAGTCGGAGCGGAAAGGGGATGCCGTTTGGTTGCTTGGTTGAAGAGGCACCCTGCAGTCTGGGTTAAAGAGAAAGGATCCGACCACCCGCGGATCTGTTTAGAAACAAAAACTAATTTGAGCAATTTTCCCCGCCTATTCTATAGTGCAACCGAAGGCACCACAAAATAGACTTTTCGGCCTGGCAAGAACAGACTGTGAAAAATCGTACTTGGGGTTTCTGGCCGCACAGATCTGTGATGGCTTCGGCTTATAGCTGTTTAAACTCCACCGGAAACTATTGTATTGTATGGGATATGAATCTCATTTAGCAAAAGAATTGAGTAGTTACTCAGCGGACAAGTTGTCACTTCTCGTTGTGGATCTGCACCTGCTCAAGTTACACGCTGAGCGAGCACTTTTTAGGCACCGGGATCCAGCACGCCATTCCTTCAATTATTCCTTTACCCCAAGCTTTACAGTATACTTTACTGACTTCGGCTTCCAGATATTTCGCATTTGGTCAGTGTGAAAAGCAGTAATTTTGATTGGGTTATGTACGTAACTGTTGTCACGACAAATAACGTCATCTGAGTAGCCCTACCGTCATGCAACGCCAGACGTCTATAAGAGTAATGCATGGATCCAAGTGAAAAAAAATCCTCAGCTGTGTGCTAATAGAAATCACTTATGTCGTGTCAGCCTTGATCATCATCACCAGCATCGGCATCCGCAGATGCTACACATGGATTGGGAAAAAGCCAAAGCCCAAAAGTGCAAAATTACAGAGGTAGTACAAACTACATTGTATCGCTTTTTGTCAAAATTTTGGATAAATATTTTGCACAAAAATCATCTGCGTCTTAATAAACCACACGATTTGTACATTTAAAATTATGTAATGCAATACTCCCGACATAGCATTTTCTCAACACACAAAATTAATCCCAAATATTCTGCGGAAAGCTGCATTTTGGGGTTTGGGTGTAAGATGACTTCTTTTCTTAAAATGCAAGCTCGCTTCTCTGGAATTCGCAAAGTCGAACACTGCCTACTCGGATTACGATATTTGGTAGAAAACATCTGAATTTATGTCAGAAATATGGCTTCTCAGTCCCTCACGTGATCTGGTTTATCATACTATCTTCGCCACCTCACGAGACATGATCGTTTGTCCTCACAACGTTGTTGGATACACACTATCTAGGCAAGACGATTGGCTACCAGGACTACACAAATAGCAACTCATTGAAGGACCACGTGGACTGGCTGTAGATCGGATTGTTCCTTGTTAGTATTTGCAGTTCTCAGCCGTCTTCCGAGGCGACAACGCTATACATGACATGCTGCGGAGGCCGGGGCTTTCTTGGCGCCTACACTACCCTTTTCTGTACGATGAATGCTCAAAGCATTGCGAACGTTATAAGTGATATGGGCGAAATACATCAAGACATCAAGTTCAGATTTTATTACTGTATATCTTTGCTACTAAATCCTCACTTTACGTAGTAGACATCAGTAGTCGGAAACCTCTAGCTTTCAGATATCTTCTGCTCGTGTTTCATGAGTATCCATGAGCATCAATGACTGGTTTATGAACTCGGATTTTATTGCGCAAACAAATGTTAGTTTCTCTCCTAAAGATGGTGCATGAAGACCTTTTGGCACTGTTGATAAGCTGTTGAATTCGTCGGTATCTTGTCCGCTGGATAAAAAGGTAGAGCTAAGTTATTTGAAGTCGGCAATCTGTTTGACTGGGTCACCTTCTATGGTGTCAAGCTGAGTAGGAATGAACGTGAATGCCGGCGAACTTTGACGCAGTGAATTCCAATCCTACAAGTACTGCATGGTGCTTCGAATAGCTCAAGACAAAACTTAGAGAAAGCAAACTCCTTGGTTTAGCTTTGTGCATTCATATCATTTTATGTAAAAATTTGGCAACGTAGAAACACGAACATCTAGCAGCTACGTCAGTAAGACTGACTCACATGGACCATTATATCAACATTTGGTGATATTTATGAGGCCATTAAAATTCGTGAAACGGAGTCAGTTGCCCAGATTAAACGAGGCGACTTGTGGTACCGCTGGAGAGATGTTAAGCTGTAGTATTTATAGACCCCAGCAGGAGTCCGAAGGATTTCCTGTTTTTAACTTTTTGGTGATCGCGACGATATCCGAGAAACTCGGATTTTCGTAGTTATCTTGTGTATTTGAGGCGGAACGGATTTCGGGGTCCCGAATTTAGGTTGACGAATAGTTTATCCATTGTTTGGCTCGGTTCGTCGATCAGTTTATCCGCTGATCATGTCTGATGAGCGGCTTACCATGCGCTTCTTGTAACAACCATTCTTGAGCCTAAACTTCCCTTGACGTCACTCGAATTTTTCAGAAACATCTGCCGAAATTACCCTCATTTGAAGCGTTTTGCGTGTATTTTGTCACATACGGTCAAACATCCAGACGCCTGAGTGGCGCCGTGTTGATGCGCTTTGGAGAACACTTCGTACAAGTAGCAGCCAGTCAAAACTTAATCCTGGTTTGCACGAGTCTGATATTTGTGCACCTTACGTATCCAGACTCCGCGCACATTTACGATCTATAAGCTTCTGCTGATGAATCGCATCGTACGAGCACTACAGTACAGCCTTCCTGGGAGACTGTATGGCCGTCGTTTGATTATTATCCTACTAAATGTTTTTGGGGATGCCAAAAAAGGTATTGGTAACAACTGGCTGAGTGAGAGGGACGAATTTAGCGAGGACATCCCCTGTTGCGCCTCCCTGAGTCCATCCGAACCATTCATGTGTGTGGCTTGCGCATACTAACTTGAATGTTCCATTTACCTGGTGTTATTGTACTTGTTCATACGGCTCTTAATTTGAAGGTGGATCCAGTAAAAAGGCTTTCATAAGTTCACGGTAGTTTCTTTGGAATGAGACGCTGAAAGTAGTAGGACACCGGATTCCAAGAAACATTTACATCATTAGCACGTCCACGTACAAAAATAGAGCACTATGGCTAACGGAAATCTCCGCTGACAGAGCCAGCAAGGATTTTCCGATTAGTAAACTATAGATGAGTCGTGCACCAGAGTTAGACCATCTGGTCGTCGAAAGACGGTCAGCATCTAATCGACAGTCGTAATGACTGCCCCTCAGATACTTGGGCTGTAAGTCTTCCAACTAGTGATCACTTTTTATACTAATAACCCAGACCACTATCTGGTCTCATCAGCCGCTGAAGCAGCGAAGGGTTTGTCGCCTTCCGAAAAAGCCACTTTATGAACGGGACATTATTTTTTAATTTTCACTGAGATTGGTTCCAGATAGCATTCCTAGAGCGCCCAGCTTATGATCAAAAATCCACCCCCAGACGTTACACAAACGCGCTCAACTTGTGAGGCCAAAGGGAACAGAAAACAGAAAACAGAAAAAGCAGAAAACAGGAAATCAGGCAGGCAGCTGTGGGTGTTGAAATCAGAATGCACTTCCATCCGTCCAGGCTACTGCAGACGCTTCATTTTCTCATCTTTGATATTTGGAAATCAAGGTTTAACTGACCACACCCCCTCTAGACAGACAACCAACTGACCGTCCAAAATATTATAGTGCCTGATACGCGTATCCTTTCTTTCACATCCGTAAAGACACTTCCCTTAGCGAAATGCAGCTAATAGAATTTTTTTCCACAGTGCCTACAAAGTAAAGCGCCATGAAGGAGCTTTTCGGTGGGGCATAAAGCACAACACCCACCAAATGCGAGGTTTGGGGGCATACCAAACGTTAGTAAGAAGCAACTAAAACGCCTCATAAAAGCATATGATACATTAACTCACCTAATGCACCAGTGACAATTTTCAAGAAAAAATCACTTCGTTCTAGATAGCTCATCAAGTATCTTAACAACAAGACATAACCAACCTGCTCAGATTCCGTCAGACGCACAGTCTATTCAAGGAACCAGTCAACACACAGTCAAACAAGGCGAACTTAGTAAATAGTAACTAGTTGTACTATATACTACCAAGGTTTAAATTAGCCTCATTGCCTACCTGGGAATTGTGACCAAGTGGTTTCAAAAGGCCACCCATTTTGAATCTCCCTGGAGTTTCGAGCAACGCTGATTTCCAACGCTTATGGAAAACCGGCATTCTTCTATAAGAGCCTTC